GCATTGAGGGAGTACTTGAGTGGAGGCCCAATGTCCATCTGCTACCTTAATACTAAACCTATAAATGTATGCACATACATCTATTGCCCCATCATCATATGTAAATATATTTACATATGTACATACCTGTATTTAGACCTCTATAAATGCCCTTTGCCTCCTAGTTCTTTCCTCTATTTCCTTTTACTTTTCTCTTGTCCCACTATCATGCTCAGCTTTCATTTGGGTTTCAGTAATTCCTCTCAGTTACGTTGCCCTTGATCAATCCATACCAGGCCTCTTACACCCTCCTTGCCACTCATTTTGGATCACTTGTTGTTCCCTTGTCCCTGGGTTTGATAGCACCACTTCCTTTCCCCCACCTCCCTCTCTCCTATGTACTCCCAGAACCATTGGTCCAGTTGTTTTCTCCTCCAGATGGTTTATCCCGCCTATTTTATCTAAATAGACCTGCAGAGATAATAATATACACACAAAAAAGAAGATAGAGCAAAACAAATTGACAAAATAAAACAAAACGACAACAAAAATACTAACAACAACAACAAAAAGCGTATAAATAGTTCAAGGTCTGTTTGTTGACCTTTAGGAGTGTTTTCTGATCAAGTCTGATAGGGTGCCATGTCCTGGCCCCAAAGTCTATTTTTTCTACTCCCTTGGGAGTTCCCTGCTCTGTTCCCCTTACTCTTCTGTTGCACATCCTCAGTGTTTGGCCTCGGTGTGGTGGGGTCAGATTGGGAACAATTCCCACACTGTCTCCAGTGTTGTCGTCTGTAGGACTATGGGTCATTGAGGGATCTTGTGTCTCATAGTGGGGCTGGCCATATGGTCTTCTCTGTGCATTGGCTGCTCTGAGCAGGGATATCGTCCTCAAGGATTGGTGGGCCAGGATGTGCTCCACTCTCTCTTTCTCCTCCTTCATTTGCTCCTGTGTGCTCTGATCATACATGGCCCTCTCCCTGAGCTGTAGCTTCAGTGCTGTCCCCTGATGAAGTAAATTCTTCTGGGGGGAGTGATTTATATTATTTCTGTTCTTTTGCTGTTAATACTAGTCCGGCTGACTCTGCTCTTGTTGCTGTAAATTTTGTGCCAACATATCAAACATAAGTCTCTCTTCCTTTTTCATGTGTGCTTGTATTGCTACCTAACTTCCTCTGATAATCAACTTTGTTGTGCCCCATAAGTTTTGGTACGTCGTGTTCTCATTCTCATTAGTTTTTAGAAATTTCCTAGTTTCATCTCTGATCTGGGCCAGTGCACTGTCCTTTTGCAATAGTTATTTATTCTCCAATTGTTTGCTCTTGTTCTTTTCCTCTTCCTTTTGTTGATTTACAGCTTATGGCACAACGGTCAGAGAGAGAGAGGTCTGCATGATATCAATGTGCTTAAATTTATATAGATTCGCCTTATGCACCAGCATGTTGTCTGTCATCGAATATGTGCCATGCAGGCCTGAAAGAACTGGATTTGGATGAAGAGCTCTGTAAATATCGATCAGGTCAAATTGTGTAATTGTAGTGTTTAGATCAATAGCCTCTTTGTTGAGTTTCTTTTCCTGTGATCTAGCTTTGTAAGAGCGGTGTACTGAAGTTACCTACTATAATTGTTGAGCCTGTGATTATTTTTAGAACTTTTGAAGTGCTTAGTTGACATATTCAGTGGGTCTCTCATTCGGGGAATATATGTTTAAAAACTTAGTGTTTCTTTGTCTACCATTCCCTTGAGCATTATATAGTGTCCCTCATCTCTTTTTATGGTTTGCACTTTGAGGCCAATTTTATCCGAATTAGGACTGCAACCCCTGTTTTTTTTGACTTGCTGTTTGCTTGGTATACCTTTCTCCAGGCTTTGATTCTCTGCCTATTTTTTTCTATAGTCTTGAGATGTATCTCCTGTGGGCAGCAGATTCTAAGCCAGTCTCCTAGCCTCAGTCTTTTAATGCTTGAGTTCAGTCCACTGATATTCAGGGTTATTATCTCCATTTATGGAGTCTGTAATGTCGTCTTATACCTTTTGTCTTTGGTGTTTTCCTACCTCCCTTTCTTATCAGTGTCTTGTGCATATGTGCATGCGAGCGTTTGTGTGTGTGTGTGTGTGTGTGTGTGTGTGTGTGTGTGTGTGTGTTTCATTCTTGACTTCTTTCCACCCTTAAGCCAATGCTATCTTGGGGTCTGTTTTCTCTTTGTTGCCCTCTGGGTGAGGTTGTTCTATGTGGTGGTCTCTTATGTTCTATGTGGTGGCCTGCTGAGTGTTGTTCTTCTGCCCTTACTGGGTAGGCAAACATCTTTTGTAGGGCTGGGTTTCTTCTAACATATTCTTTGAGTTTTTCCTTGTCTGGGAAGACTCTTCTCCATATATCTTGATAGATAATTTGACTGGGTAGAGTATTCTTGGGTTTGCATTATTTTCCTTCAACTTTTAGAATATATTACTCTACTCTCTCTTCTTCTTCATAGTGTCTGCTGATAGGTCTGAGCATATTCTTAACTGGGAAACTTCATATGTAATTGCTTGTTTTTCCCTAGCTGCTCTCATGATTTTGTCCTTTTCCTCAAAGTTGGATAGTTTAACTATTAGGTGCCTTTGTGACTTCTTGTTAGGATTCAGTCTAGCTGGTGTTTTTTCAGCCCACTGAATGGCTGCCTGGTTTTCATTCATTAAGCTGTGGAAATTTTCCTCCAAGAATTCTCTGACTATTGTTGCAAATGACTTCTTTGTTGTGTCTTCCTCCGGTAATCCAATTATTTTGATGTTGTACTTCTTCATAACATCAGACATAGCTCTTAGGCTTTCTTCAGCTTCTCTGATGATTTTATTAGATTTTTGTTTGCTGTCCTCTAGGTCACTGGTGCAGTTCTCTGCTTCCTCCAGTCATTTTGCGAAGTTCATGAGTCTGCTACTGGTTTTTGTTATCTCATCCCTAAGCTCCTGTATTTCCTTTTGGTGTATGGATTTATCTCTCCTATCAGTTCATCCTTTTTTCTGTGTTGTTTCCCTCATATCCTGTATGACTCCAAGCAGCATTCTGAAAATTTATTTCTGTGGCTGATCAATGGCTGCTGCTTCTATGCACATCGTTAGGTTCAGGACATCTTCTACCATTGGCTCTTGTTTCTCCTATTTTTTGTTGTTGAGATCATTGGGGCCGATGGCTGTTTGCGTTGTGTTGTTTTAGAGGAGCCAGGTGCCATTTTCCAGGGAGTCTAAGAGCACTGGTTCTTTCTGGGAGTCTCCTAGGAATACTCCTTCGAACTGCCTGCAGATAATTTCACTATGGAATTGGCCTACCACTTTATCCTTCTGTGGCTTCACTCTTTCCCTAGTCAGCCAGTATTCTGTTATTTGGAGGGAAAGTTGGATGGTCCTCTCAGGGGACACTGGTTGGGTGATTGTGGATCCACGAGGATGGTACTGTACTGGGTGATCTCAGAAGAAGCCGTGATGGTGTGGCCCATGGCAGCTTGGGACACTGAAGAGGGCATGCAGGGGTGCCTGCTGCAATGGGTGTGCCACAGAAGGGTGGCAGGTTGCCCGCTTCGGTGTAGAGCACCATAAATGGTGGGCAGAATTTCCCTGGTCAGGTAGATTGCTATGGAGGTTGGGCAGAAGTTCCCACAGCATTGTGGAATGTTTGCGTCTGTTGGATGAGCTGCCTTAGACCATGTGAGGCACTACGGTAGGCAGGAGGAAATTCCCTCAGTCATGTCGGACCACAGAGGAGGGATAGGAACTCCCCCAGCCTTGAATGCAGGATTTCCCCTGAAGAAAGTGGGAGGGATTTCTCCAGCCATGTGTTTAGTAATGCACAGGGTGGGAGAGGAATTTCCCAGGGAAGAAGTTGGGCCAGGTATTCCCTGGTGGAGGGTGGGCGGGCTCTCCCCACACTTGAGAATACTGCAGAGGGTGGAGCTTTCCCAGCTGGGTGGAGACCAGTCATAAATGCCCTAGGCTAATGGGAGTGGTCTGGAGGTCAGCAATGGCATGTGAGAGAAAAGGGAAGAGAAAACGAAAAAAAATTAAAAGAATAGAAAAACAAAACTAAGCCCACTGAGACTGTGGGGGGATAGAGAGAAGAGAGGGAAACAAAAGTGTCAATATTGCCGAGCCCTGATCTCTGACCATAGGGCTGGAGGGGTTTAATCCCTGACCTGAGGCACCGCAAGTTGTGGCTGTGTTGAGACAAAGCCCCTGAGCCAGCTCCAAATGATCCTGGCTCTGGCCAAGACAGGGCTAAGGTTAGAACCTAGCCGGCCTCCACTGTGGTAAGCCAAAGCCCCCAGCTTCTCAAAACCTAGTGGATCTGCGCCAATTTATCTTCCCTGCCTTCTGCCTGATAGAATGACATCTCCGTTGAAATATCTCAGCAAGATGCTTTCATAGACTTCCTTCACTGTTGCTGTTGTGGCCATGGAGTCCACTGTGACTCATGGCAACCATAATTATGCACATCAGTGAAATGTTGCCAGGCCCTGCAATCTTCATGATCATGAGTATGTTTGAGTCCATTGTTGGAGCAACGGCGTCCATCCATCTCATTAAGTGTGTTAGTAAACGTGACCTGGTTGACTAGAAAATCAAAATCCAGAGACACTCATATGTCTGTAAGAGAGAGCTTTATATCAAAGAGCAATTGTATATTGAGAAAACATCCTACCCCAGTCCAGATCAAATCCATAAATGTGCTATTAGCCTACATGCCAGATACTAGTCCATAAATTCCACATGCTATGATGCCGAATGTGGGAAGATCACAGGCTAGTGGGGTGGAAAGTCTTGTGGATCCAATGCTGGTGGAAGCATCTCAGCACTTCCTTCTCCAGCTCTCTAAGTGTGGCTGTTCAACAGGAAGGTGAAGCAGAGAGAGAGTGCGGCAGACCTCCAGGGAGAAAGAGAGGAAGTTCCTAGAATACTCATGGGAAGGCCACACCCACCAGGAAGCATCATCAGGCTGGGACCTGATTGACAAGCTAAGCCCCACCCCTTCACTCTCTTCATCAAGTTGCCATGAAATTATGTAAGTACCACACTAAGGTTTTTTTGCTGACTTTACCCATCATGATATAATTTTCTTCCGACAGGTCTTTCCATTTTAAGTGAGCCAAAGTCTCATCATCCTCACTTCTAAGATGTGTTATGGTTTTATTTTTCCTTAGATTGATTGGTTCACTTTTCTGGAAGTTCTTGATGTATTCGATGATTCTCACCAACACTACAGTTTGAAGGTACCAGTGCTTCTGCTCTCCTTTCTCATTGTCCAACTTTCACATGCATGTGAAGCAATTGACAAGGTCATGGCTTGGGTTAGGACACCTTAGTCCTTAAAATGACATCTTTGCTTTCAAAGAGGTTTTTATCAGGATTTGCCCACTGCAACATAGCAATTTGTTGACAACTTCAATAATTTTCTGCATCGTTCCATATTGTCACATAATTCGTAGCATCCCTTATGTTTAGGCTTCTAGGGGAAGTTGGTTCTGTATGTGGAAGAGCTGTTCTGTGAGGGAAGACTGAGAAACAAAAAGCAATGCTTTAAATTTCTGTGCCCAGCTGTGCTTCAACATAGTGGAGAGGGAAGACACAGATGATAATGAACTATAGGTAACAGAGAGAGTTCAAGCCATCTGAGCAAAGGCAGAATATCTGAAATTCACCTGGGCAGCAGCCCCTAGCCTTGTTCCTTCTGCCCACGTCTCTCCTATTCACCTACTTGCCTCCTTCCACTTTCACTATCACCATCCATCCACCATCATCTTGCATTTAGATCCCTGGAAACAGCTTCCTAATATCTTCTGTTTTCTTTGTGCCCCCGTGGCTGAGCACAGTCACACACACACACACACACACACACACACACACACACACACACACACATTTCACCCAATGGCCAGTTAGTTACATTTCCATAATATGAGGCATTTTATTTATTTATTTAAAACATTTTATTAGGGGCTCATACAACTGTTATAGCAATCCAGACACACATCAATTGTGTAAAGCGCATTTGTACATCATTCTCAAAACATTTTCTCTCCACTTAAACCCCCGACATTAGGTCCTCATTTTATAGTGCTGTTGGATACGTTTTGGACTAGTAGCCACCAGGTCAGTGTTCCAAACCCACCAGTTGCTTCTTGGGAAAAAGTTGAGACTACTTGTTCCCCAAAGATTTACAGCCTTGAAAACCCTATATGAGGTCAGTATGAATCAGAGGCAACTCAATGGCAGTGGGTTGATGAGCCATACATAGTTTCAAACAATTGTAGTCTTCGGTGGATAAATCAGTTAAAAATGCTTGTCGTCATGAATTTTTTTTACCTTGCAGTTCCACGAAGGAGATATATTTATATGTAAGGGTTTCTTTCTTTGTTTTTCCCCTTGGGGAGAGTGCGGACGCAGTCCCCCACTACCACAAATTATGCAGTCGAGTTTCCCACATTTGGGGAAATCGCAGGAGTCAGCACACCCAGCGTGCAATGGGTGAGCCTCACCCTGGGAAAACCACCTTTGTGATCATGGCATCTCCCTGCCAGGTAAGCATACCACTGTTTCCTTCTTAAAAGGCCTTTCCGTGCTTCTTTATCCAACTAATCCCTGCCCCGTGCTCAAGCTCCACTTCGAGATACCTCCTTCAGGAAGCCTTCCCCGTGGTTACAGGTGCACCTTCGGTGTATTTCTAGCACTTTTATTTTTGATGTACTTCTGCATTCCATTGTAATTTCCTGTTTACTTGCCTGTCTTGTCAACTGGACCAGTGGTTAGAACACCTTTTTTTCTGTTAAGGCCTAGATAGCTGTTATGGATTGCTTCATGTCCTATCCCAAACCAAACCAAACCAAACCAAACTCACTGCCGTGGGGTAGGTTCTGAAACAGAGTGTCCTGCTGTGTTGAAACCCTACCCTCTGTACCGGTGTGGACACTCAAGTGGAAATGCAGGGGGAAGCGAATGGCATATCAACCACTTCATAGTTACTAAAAAGAATAGAATACAGTCAGACAGATGTCAAGTAAAGGTCATGGACAAGGCAGTGAGGGAAACCAAGCACCGCTTGGGCTAGGCACAAAGAAGACATCAGCATGGTTGAGATCCTAATTTGGACTTCCTAGGCCTTCCAGAACTGTGCCAGGGAAAACATGGGTCTGTTACTTTAAAAGGCACCCGCTTGTTCATTTGTGTTCCATAGACATCAGTAACTGTTTTAGGCTTGCAGGTGATATGATGTCTATTGTAATTATTCAACTCAGCCAGGGAAAGCTGAAAACAGCCATGGACAAAATAGAAATAAAAACTATTAAACTAGGTAGTAGGTTAGGGTTAGGGTCTGCAGATGGTTCTTCTGCTGATCTCAAGACCAGACTATGACTTTCCTAAATTATAAAATAGTATATATTATCAATTTTTAAAATTTTAAGCAATTATATATATAATTGTGTTTTCCACGAAAACAAATTCAATTCCATTTTAACATTACTACAAAAATTATGGAGTGTCATTGGTTACATTTTTCACAATGTATCAACATTCTCATTAGTTTTGTGAACTATGGAACTGAGGGGAGAAACCAGGGTCTTGGTCATTTCTTACATCCTTGCCATAAAATGAGCATACAGTAGATGATTGCTGGATGACTCTTGAATAGGCACCAGAGTAGTTTTATGATTATCACTAGAGGGTTTGGGTGTATGTGTGTGCGTGTGTTAGCAAACTCACAAGCATCTTATTAAAAAGAACCGCATCTCACAATATTTAAGAATGGCCGCTGATTTTTATGTCTTCCGAATTGCTATATGCATCTGCTCTTTAGTTTGTATACCTATATATTTTATCCAAATCAAGCAAAAATACATATATGTAGATGTACTCTGACATGCATGGAAGTTGGAATCAACTCAATAACAACTGGATTTTTTAAAAGCCTTAATATATTTCAAGTTCTCTTATAAATTTGTAAAATGGATAACACAAATGCATTGACCAGAACAGAAGGATAATTAAAATAACTTACGTCCTTGTCAAAAAGTTCAGGTATAAGTATTTCTTTAATTATCTACAAGGAAAATGAGCCAACATTCATTAATCAATAACATCAGCCAACCACTTCATCCACGTAATCTCTCCTTTCTGGGTCACAATCCTGCTGGCTAATAGCAGATGTCTCAGATATTAATAGGTAAGTTCTACCACCCTGCCTTCACATACATCCCTTGCCTCTGCCTGCTTCGGGTCATCTTCAGTCATATGACTAAATATCCTCTCATTCTAGACTTATAACTGCTGCCTACATGCCCTCATACCTGATCAACACTTTACTGTCCTTGCTGTCACCCATGCCCTTACACAGCATACGCTACGGTCCTCAAAGGTGCTTGGAGTGCTGGGTTCACTGAAGTCTTCTGTTTGGGGCAGAATGGAGAACGTCTCACTCTGAACCAGTGTAACTTGTGTCTTTCTCATGTTATCAGCGGTGTACTACAGCGCCACTCGAGCATCCTTTCCTGCACTTGTCTTAGAGTCTTTTTTTCCTTTTTTAACATTTTATTAGGGGCTCATACAACTGTTATCCCAATCCATACACACATCAATTGTGTAAAGCGCATTTGTACATCGTTTCTCAAAAC